GGTACAGGGAATTTCATGAACGATTCTAGCGTGAATCAAGGGAACCTACCCCACAGGAAACTTCGACCCTTCTTAGAGAGGGTGCGGGAAATGGAATGCCCGATTTCATTTTTTGGTTCAAACAGAAGGTACTGTCCAATTTGACTCGTACTTAGTTTGACATTACAAGTTGCTCGTACATGAAACTAATATAACGAACTACCCTGCTTGAACTTGTAGGGACAAACCGATGCGTCTATGAGTGCCGAGTTGAGACAGGTTGCCGATGGTTGTGCCTATTGGGTCAGGTCATTTACCGGTTATGACATGAATGGATATCGCTTTTACACAACAAGCCACGAGCAGAGTCGGCCCAATCGAAGAACCATAAATACCAGAGTTTTTACGCAAGGCTTAGATGGGGTTGAGTATTATAGAAGAATTGAAGAAATATACGAACTCATGTTCATGGTTGCAAACCTCTTAATCCCGTTATATTCAAATGCCATTGGTTGGATCCTGAAGTAGTGAGGTGGACCCCTAATCTTGGGCTAGTGGAAATTCGACAATCATCCGTCTTACCAGGAGACGATGTCTATATTGTGGCTCAACATGCAACACAAGTTTATTATCTCTCATACCCATGCCAAACTATAGACTGTCTTAAGGGTTGGGATGTTGTGTACAAGGTATCGCCACACGGTAAACTACCTATCCCAAACAATCAAGATTACAACATAGACCCCAACACATATGATGGAGAGTTTTTTCAAGAAGATGGGCTCGAAGGGAGTTTTGAGATAGACTGAACCGAAGCTCAGGGTATGGAAGTAGACAATGAAAGTGGTGCTGACAAGGATGCCGGAGATGAGGTTCAGAATGTGAAGGACTTAGAATTACTTCAGTGATTACATCTAAGTAATGACGGTGATGATGACATTCCTCCTTCGGAGCACGGGGATGATTATATCGACATGCGTGATAGTGATGATGAGACCTATGATCCAGCTAATCCCGATGATGATGATTATTTCTAATACATGTATGATCCGTGCTAATTGATTTATTATTTGTCATACCGTGTTATTTTCTAAGTATGTTTTGTTTATTTTGCATCTATTTTGATGTATTTCTTGTGCTAATTGGTTTACTCTTTTTAATTACAGGTGATTGAACAATGGTGGGCGATATGAGGAGGATAACGTCCCTTTACTCAAAAGTGACAGTGACGAGTAAAGGGTCCGATGCAGCTGATGGGTCTGGAAAGAGACCTCGGGGTAGACCCAAGGGTCGAGGGAAGGGTGGAGGCAAGATGAGGCCACCATCGCCTGTACCTTCATCGCTGTCTGAGTTACCTTTTGCTCATTCATCCTCTGAGGAGGAGGAGGTACAGGTGGAGGAGGAGGCAGGGGTGGAGGAGGAGGCAGGGATGGAGGAGGAAACAGGGGGTACCTCTTCCTCTACTTCATCGCGTGTGTGGTTGCGAGGTTCCTCCAACCTCCCGAGGCGACCGATACATCTTGAGAGACGCCCGCTGATTTGACCCGATGAAGACAAGTAAGTAACTTTATATGTTATCACTATTTTTTTGTTTCATATGTTCAAACTTATAATAGAAACTAATAATTTATCTTAATCACTTGGACATGGCTTGGAGCAAGGTCAGTGGGGGTGATCATGCACGCCATGTGAACGACATCCTTGGTCTTTTGATCAAGGAAAAGTTCCCTGGCCTGGTGCAGTTTGGCGGAATTGTCGAGCCGGCCTACATGTGGGCCCACTATGCCACCGTCCCCGACACCACTGATCGGGATGGTAGGTGTTTCATCGACAAGGCGCAGCATGTCAAGGCCGAGCTTTGGGTAAGTCTTTCTCGCACTACATTGCTCAATACATCGCATTGATTGGACATTCTTGAAATAATGACTGGATACATAGCGTCTATATGCAGGATTTCTTTAAATACGAGGAGGGATACGAGGCCAAGGCGGATGCTATGGCTGACAAAGCCACCAAGAAACTCGTCAAGGACATGCACTACGAGGCGCGCATCTAGGCCGTGATCCAATACCACGCGGAATTTCTTAGAGAGAGGATCCCTAAAAGGGCGGGAAGAACCATGAGCCTGACCTCGGAACAATACCTGAAGGTAAATATAGAATATTAATACTTAATTTTTCTAAGATTAATTACGCCTAATTTCATCTTCTTATATGTCATATACTTGATGACGTAGGTGCCTCCGTGTTGGTGCGCCTATGATCTGCAGTGCTGGGCCCAGATGGTGGATAGGTGGTGCGACCCCGCGTGGGAGGAGAATCACAACGCTTGTCGGGAGCAGCGTTTGCTGATGCCGGGTGCACCACACCATCAAGGCAACCTCAACCTCACAAAATACATGGCTAGATGGGTACGCGAATTCATTTCTTTATTCTAACACTCAACTTTGCATAATTTCTAATCATATTGCTTTTTTGCAGTCGACGTCACATAGTGGCCAGCCTTGCTCCCAGTTCGTGGCATATGCTTTGGCCCACAAGGGGAAGGCGACGTCCGACGTCGCCTACAACCCAGAGGACCCGCCCTTGGCGTACAACAATGAGTCCATCCACAGCCGTCTCGAAGGATACACATCGATGGCAAGGCAGGTCCGTGGCCTAGAGTACGATCCGAGCGCCCATGACCTTGATGGAGAAGTGGTCATGAGGGTGGGAGGAGGCAAGAAGCATGGCTGGTTCTGGATTGGCGACGGCACCATCGACACGGCCAGTACTCCCACTCTCTCCCAGATTCGAGCACGGAGCATGGGTTCCAGTCGGGCGATACGCCCACGGCCGGACTCTACACGGTTCCAGATAAACGCACTCCAGGTTATTTCTGTTTTATTCATCATTCATTGATTTTTACATACTTTTGCATTGCATTGTAACATTGGGATGAAATATTGTAGGCACAGCTAGAACAAGAAACAAGACGCCAGGAGGAGCTAGAGGCGAAGATGGAGGCAGAGCGGCTGAGGATGGAGGCAGAGCGGCAGATGATGGAGCTGTTGATGTTTGAATATATGAGGGGTGTTTATGCTGTGATCGGTCAACCTCCACCGCCGTTTCCAGTCCCTCCTCCTCCACCTGCTCCAAATACTATTTTAGGCACTGTGAGTCGCTTTACAACCTTATAATCTAGTTTATGCAGAATCAATCTTACAAAAATGCCAAGACACTAGAAACTTAGTGACTAATGCTATATGTTTGTTACCAACTAGTACTTAAGCAATCATACTAAAGCACAATGCAACTGAGAAGATATTGCTAATAGTTTGCAAGGGTTATACTAGTTAGGCAGCAGAGGGACCATACGTGTTGTTTAATCTTGTCTCACACATGTAATCTCTTCTCCTTTGTGTTGCATCAATCGACGGCATCGAATGAGTCTCATGACCCAACCCTGTCGCAGTGGAACTCGTGGCCTAAGTGACTACTTGTGATTTTATTTGTATTTGTATTTGTGGATTACATGTGATTACTTGTGGTCTTGAATGAACATATACTTGTGATTCTAAAGTTTATTTACATTTATGTGCTGTCGATATATCTATATGAACTGTCTGTGATGTCTATTGTGAACTATCTGTGATGGATGTGATGTTTATTTGAATGTGGTACGTGGCTGTGACCGAACCTAATAAACTGATTATTTATGACAGCTTTGCCGAGTGTTACACTCGGCAAAGAGGCCTTTTGCCGAGTGTCAGGGTTAAAACACTCGACAAAGTGTACAAGTGGCAAACTTCTGTGCATTCTGGGACTAAAATGGCATCTTTGCCGAGTGTCTGCGCTATGACACTCGGCAAAGAAGCCAAATTTAGTGTATTCTGGGACGGGCTTTGCCGAGTGCCCACAGTTTGACACACGACAAAAGAAGTCACTTTGTCAAGTGCCAACACTTTGACACACGGTAAAAAAGCAAGCTTTGCCGAGTGCCCACACTTTGACACACGGCAAAAAAGCAAGCTTTGCGGAGTGCCGACACTTTGACACACTGGCAAAAAGTAAGATATACCGAGCGCCCACAGTTTGACACACGGCGAAAAAGCAAGATTTGCTGAGTGCCAAGTAGTTGTCACTCGACAAAGAATGAAGGTTTACCAAGTGCCTGATACTGGACACTCGGCAAACGCGCCGTGACCGTTTCCACTCCGTCATGTTACCTTTTTTCGTCGAGCGTCGATTTCAGCTCTCGACAAAGTTTTTGCCGAGTGCCCGATAGAAAACACTCGGTAAAGCTACCATTTATCGGCACTGTAGATGCTGTGTGCTGTTTGCTGAGTGTTACACTCGGCAAATCTTTTGCCGAGTGTTTTTCAGGCTTTACCGAGTGCATGTGGCATACGGCAAGACTACTGTTTCCGGTAGTGACGTGGCGGTTGCAGTCCGGGCATCAACGCCGTCGTCGCCACCGGAGCGTACACCTAGTTGGCGGTTGTCCTCGTCGTTCCTGACGCGTCGCCGGGTAGGTCGTGCACCTGCTGTGGCTGTGCTGCTGCCGCTGCCACTGCAGCGGCGGCAGCCACCGCGGCGGCAGCGTACTCCGGCGGTGGCACCCAGATGCCTCCCACCACGACGAACTGCGGCGCGGCCGGCGGCGTGACGCTGGTGCCGCTGCTCTGGACCGCGACCGCCGTCGAGTTCGGCCGCCTCGTGTGCAGACGGTACTTCTGAAGTCCCAACAAGTTCAAAATGAAGGGCAGAGTAAGAAGAGAACAGATGGTACTATGAACTGCAAATACGCTCTTTTTTGAGGCAGCTACTGACCTGCAAATGGCTTTTGAGCTCATCGTTGGTGAGACCGTCGACCTTCATGAGCTCCCGGATCTGCTTCGGCGTCGCCGCTGCATATATGAGCATCCATTATTAACAATTTAACTCACATTAGTTAGATTGTTAATTATTGTGTCAGAGACTAATTGTACACGATTTTGAAGTGTTGGTGATGAGGTGGTAGGATAAGGGAGAGCAACTAACCGTGGGACCCGCCGAGCTGCTGCAGCGCCTGCAGGAACCGGCGGTGGAGCTCCGGCGCCCAGCACCGCCGCGGCTTCCGGCCGGGCGCCTGCGACGCCGACTGCGCCTCTTTGTCCTTGCCGCCGCCTTTGCTGCTCGCCTTATTAGTATTCCCCGCCGTGTCGTTGTCGGTGGCGCCGCCGGCCCGGTCACAGCTGTCCCCGACCACGGCCGAGCTCGCCGCGGCCGTGGCCGACGACGAGGCCGGCAGCGGCATCTCGGTGCGCTGCTTCGGCTTCTCCTTCTTGTTCTTGTCCTTCTCGAACGGCTGGAACGCGCCCCCGGGCTTCCGGCAGGCACTGAGCGCCACCGGCCTGCACGGCAGCAGCAGCTCATCCTGGTGGGGCTGCGGCGGGGAGGGTTGTTGTTGCTGTTGGTTACTCCAGAGCTGGACGGACTGCGGCCAGTCCGGCATGGCCTTCTTGGTCTCCGGCTGTGGCAACCGCCGCCTGCCGCTGCTGGCTCTGGCCGCTGCCGTCTCCGGATCTCCCGGCGCCGCCTCGTCGCTCTTGTCGGCATCGACGCCGTCGTCGGCCGTGCCGGCAGCGCGTTGGTGGTGGGAGCTGTCGTGGTCTTTGTCGTCGTCCTCGGAAGAGGAGGACGAGAGGGTGGGCTTGAGCGGCATGAACTCCACCAGCACGGGCCCGCCGTGGTCGCTGACCGTCTCCTCGCTGCCGCCAACGACGCTGTCCATGTGGCTCCTCATCCCCTCGATAGCTGCACAGCACACTCGTACGTAGAGATTTTATGGAAGGAATGGCCGACGGCGCAGCAGAAGAAGCTTGAGACGAGACGACGGCGTCGCGGAGGCGGAGCGAGAGAGCTGGCGCGCGCGTGGGCTGCTACGTTAGTGAGCGAGTCAGAGTGAGACAGAGAGCGCACTCACTCTGCGTGACGAGGTCGAGGCAGAGCGGCAGCTCGCGCTGGAACACCAGGATCTTGCGTCGCTCCTCCTCCAGCGCGAGCAGGTACTCGAGGCAGCGGCGGCGGCGGTCGGCGTGCAGGGGCGGCGGCGGGTCCATCTCCATGCTCCGTCCTGCGCTGTGCCGGTGCTAGAGCACTGATTGTTGTGCGGCGGGCCGTGGGAGAGTCGGAGAGGTAGAAGACGAGAGGCGTGGGAAGGGAGGGGAAAAGCAATGGGGAATCGAGGTCGAGGCGCCGCGTAGGAGGCGAATCTTTCTCACGCGCGCTGGATGACAGGAAGACAGAAAAGGGGTGGCCCAGTTCCGCTGCCAACGCCCCAACGGAATAAATGCGGAATCTACCCTCGGGGCCCACCGGCAGCTGTGGCACCAGCACCACGGTCTCACGTCCCAACTCTGGAGTGGAGCGCCCAACCAGACACGATGCAAGGGAAGAAGATTCCAGAGAAATCCCTTCCTCTCCTACTCCATTTTTATCTTCGACCCCCGACCCCCCCAAATACTTGAATACATTAGGTTAGTTTGGGGTGGCCCAATTTTATTTCAATAATACAAAACAAAATCCATCCCCATATTTAGAGCTAGCTGCAATAAATGATAATCCCCCATTAAAAATTGACCAATGCTTCATTTTATATATATTTATTATAAGGTTGAGGAAGGTCGGAGGTGACCATAAGATGAGGCACGAGTATCTCATGGAAGACAAAACTGGCTCCCTAGACATAGGGTGGACCAGATCGATTACTTGAAGGCCAACATCTACACGAGGGACCATAGGCTTAGAATACGAGGCATAGATATGTAAATACCCGAAATGATGAGGTTCAATTGTAAGTGACTAGAAAAACAACATGTAAATGAAAAGGGTTATGCATAAAAGGCTTAGTTAGGCTCAATCGATAGGTTGATGCAACAAGAAAATAAAAAAGGATAAAAGAACACACGTAAAGGTGGTTCTAAAGAAAAGGAAAAGAGGTAGACTAAATCTAATCAACCACGGGTAAAAAACAACGATAATGTTAGGGTCAGGGCGTCCGTCCCATCCGTCCAGACGCTTCGCTTATTGGGCCTGCGGACCAGCCCAGGCAACCAGCCTCTAGCCTCCTCCACTCCTGCAGAACATTTCTCCACTCTCGTTTGTTCTCCTGTAGAACATTTCCCCACTCTCGTTCGCTCTCCTGTAGAACATTTCTCCACTCTTGTTCGTTGCAGCCGCTTCCTCTGCGCATCCGTCCTCAGTGGCCGCCTCCACCGCGCTCTCCACCCGCGCCCAATCTGCCTCACCGCCACGACCATCCTCCGTTGCGCCCTATCCCGTGTCGTGCCCATCGCAATCCCGTGCCGCGCCACCATCCCGCGTCACACACCCATCTCACCTCGTATGTCGCGGCTATGGCGTTCTTCTCGCCACCACCACCCGGCACCACCAGGAGGAGGTCGCCGCCGGTGCTCCTATATACGCCTAGGTGTACGCTGGGCCATTGTTCTCGACGTCCCCTGACCCGAGCTTGTTGGCTACCGCAGTTCCTCACCAGGTAGGTCGTGGCTGCCGGCGGCACCGTGTTTTAAGTGTTTTAGACGTTTCAGATAGATGTTTCAAGTGTTTCATCTGTATGTTACCAAATTAGATCTGGGATGTTGCAATGACAATATATACATGTTGCAAGCGTATGTTTTGAGTGTTTCAGGTGTTTCTGACATATGTTTCAAGTGTTTCATCTCAATGTTGCATAAGTAAATCTGGATGTTGCATAACATGCATGTTGCAAACGTTTGCTTTAAGTGTTTCAGGTGTTTATATGTACGTTGTAAGTGTTTTATCTGGATGTTGCATATGTTTTGCAATTGCTATACATGTGTTTTCAAGTGTTTCAAGTGTTTTTGCAAGTGTTTCAGACATATGTTGCAAGTGTTTCAGCTATTTCGGACATATGTTGCAAGTGTTTCATCTAGATGTTTTAAAAGTAGATCGGGATACTGCACATGTTACAATGTGTCCCACCTGCCACAACCTCCTGCTACAGTTGATGGGGCGTCGTGCATGCGCGTTGGAGCGCTGCTCGGCGACGAGAGCGGGAAGCGGTGTAGGCGGTCCCCATGTGCGTGCGGGAAGCAGGGGAGCAGTGCAGGCGCAGCAGGCCGGGAAGCGCTTGGAGCGGCGGGGAGGGGAGGGGTGCGGGAAGTAAGAAGCACGGGGAGCGGCGCGAGCATTCCCCCGCCTGTGCGTGTAGCAGGCACAGGCGTCCGGACACTCGTGTCCGTCCGAACGTACGGTGCTAGCACTGTGGGTAAACACAATTAAGGTTGTGTTTTGCTTCCCTATTCGCTCGTAGACAACACTACGCTTCATTTTTTGTTTTTTTTTTATAAAGGAAGCTTTTATTAAATTCTCAAAGCATTACATGCATTGTCCTTGTTGCAAGATTAAAACAATGTCCATGCAACGTTTTCTTCACATTATCCTATTAATCATGGCAAAGCCAATTGTGAAGAAATTTTATTAATTATCTTTGAACTCACTGGTCGACTTCATCCTATGTCATGATCCTTGGTCTTGATAAGTTGGCCCATTGATTTGGTTGTCATTACCTTCGCTGCACGCTGCTGCATCTTCTTCGTGGATTTACCCCCGTGTCTAGAACAGAACATGTGCAAAATATTGGCCTGATGAAAACCTTATGTAATTACCTTTCCAACGAGTTATACCAGTTGTCGTTCACCCAAAACAGATTCTGGACAAGGGAGTTATGTCCTTTTAATTTACTTTGGCACCATGTGCTGTCCAGATCTTGATTTTTTTGATGCAAACACTGGCTCTAGGGCCTTGTCATTAAAACCGATGGCTCGACGACATTGTTGATGCTATAATTTGGCCGCAGCTAGGTTTGTTGCTAAATTCGGCTTTATAGCTAATTTGTTTGTTAGCCGATGAAAGCCTGAAATATATCCAATGGCCAGGTTAATTAGTGAACAAGATGAATCAACCATTAACAAGTATTTCGATTAATCTGTACTTAGCTACTCAAGCAGCAGGATTTATGAGGAGCAGAAGCATGTGGAGTTCTTCAGAATTAGCAAGTGCTGGCGACTTGGCGTTGTCATATCAAGTTGTATGGGCTAATGACAGATCAAGATATCATGCGCGGATTAATTAAGGATGGCGCTGATGAACAGCACATTCAGGAGTATGTCCAGCACGGAGACCCTGGCGCCACTTTGATGCATGTTGCATGCTGCTGGAGTATACGTGTGAATTAAGATAAAAGAAACTCAGAAAGGAGGGATCAAGAGAGGATTTTGCAGTTTTTGCACAGAATAATTGTTTGCCCAGAGGATTCAAATTCTACTCGGATTAGCTGGTAGCTCACGTCACAGCTGCAGGGCCAAACGAACTCAAGAGGATTAGGAGGATTTTTTTTTATTCAAAGGGAACAAGCCCACTAATCTAGATTCACTGTAAATCCATGGATTCACAAGAGCAGTCACAAATACAATTACTTAATGCAGTCTGCCCTAGGAGATAAACGCATAACATCCTTTTTGCTTGCAAACAATAGCTAAGCATGCAAAAATCATGGTTGGAAGACGAGGAAAAGCTAGCAACATGCTACAAGCCAAGCCCATCAGGGCTTCGTCTCCTCATCTTCCTCGATCTTTGGAGCCAGGTAAAATCTAATGTAACCCATCTCTGCGATCTTGTACTCGACCACCACTGGTAGCTCGGATGACAGGCTGATAGTCACTTGTTCGGACAGTGAAGATGCCTTTGTGAAGGAGTTCATGTACCTCAGCGCAAAGGTCAGGGAAACTGGCTCTTGCATCTCTATGGTGGTAGCCTCTTCCGGCTTGTCAGTTTTCATGTACCTCAGCGCAAAGGTCAGGGAAACTGGCTCTTGCATCTCTATGGTGGTAGCCTCTTCCGGCTTGAGTTTTCATGTACCTCAGCGCAAAGGTCAGGGAAACTGGTTCTTTGTTTTAATATTATAGCAAATATGCATACCTGTATGCTGCAACAAAATATACAGACTGCATTGTCTGTTCCAATATCACTGCACAAAACGGAATGTCCTTAAGGGCCGAAAATCCTCAAGAAAAGCATAAAAATCGTGAAGAATATTATTCTTGGCAGCTAACCCTCAGGGAAGGACCGTTAAGGGCTGAGAGCAAAGGAAATTCAATTACCTTGGGACGGCCATCACAAATGATTTTCTTAAGGGTTTGGCCGCCAAGGAAACAAAGACGAGGTCAGATTTTTAACAACGTCAAGGAAATATAACACTCCCAAGGATATATATTTTCTTGAGTTCCAATGACCCCAAGGTATTTGTATCAACCACCAAGGATATATATTTTCTTGAGGATCCATGACCCCAAGATATTTGTAAGAATTGCCAGGGATGCCACAACTGGAAAAAATCGAACTCGTGACCTAAAACGAACTCATGACCTGAGGTTTCAGGTGAAACTCACTTACCACTATATCTCAGAGTTATCTATGAATAAGTAGATGTTTCTTTCTTTTTTATCCACTTTAGTGGATTTTGTATTAAATATTTAAGACTCTAAATAATTTCAAATGGAAACAGTTTAAACTAAAAGTTTTAGAAAAGCTTATCAACTATAAAGTTATATATCTCTTCGAGCTCTACAACTTGGATATAAACTATGCCTTCATACAATATTAGTATGTTGCATGCAAGCTTTAAAACTAACTAGACATCTCAAGTTAAGTGTGAATATGCATTCTCTAATGCATAGCAACTCAAAATTGTACCTTTTGTTGGATTAATGCACCAAAAAAATCCGTATTTAATTTCATAACCATGTCAAGGGAGCATTTGTGTCTATAATATGCAATGTCTAACTAATAGGAATGCATTGAGTCCATTGTATTGGTAGTTAAGGCGAATGAGTAGAAATTGAACATTTTTTCTTAGCGGCTACAACAATTTACTTGAGAGTTTGCACCCAAGAAACTATCACTTCTTTGGTGGTTTCCAATTACACCTAAGGAAATGAGAATTAACTTGATGGTTTGTAACAACATCAAGGAAATATGAAGTACGTTGATGGTTTCGAATAGCACGAAAGAAATGAGGAAATACCTTAGCAGTTTGTAATAATAACACTCAAGTAAACATGGCGCACTCAAGGAAATGCATAATTACCTTGGCGGTTTGAGTTAGCAATCAAGAACATGCATTTTTTTAGAGGTTTCGTACGACTGCTGAGGCAATGATATATCTTTGGGGGTTCAATTTCACCCCTAAAGGAAACTGTTGACCACCAAGGATTTTATTGATGTTCTTTTTTGGAATTCAATGTAGTGCAGAGATAGTTCTGCTGCCTATTTTCCCAATCTTCCAGATGATCTGCAATTTTGCAAAACTTCTTTCAGAGGATAGTTTGTTGGTACTCTGATTTTGTGAGCTTGGAAATAGTGCTTCAATTTTCTTGCTGTAGTTAAAACTACGTAAGCTATTTTCTCGATTTCCGAGTAATAGATTTTTGATCCAGATGAAACAAAGTAGACTGAGACTTGTCTTTTTATGTGTTCATTTTTCTGTTCTTCTACTAAGATTGCACTCACTACACTTTCTATTGCTGAGACATATAGGGGCAATTCAGCCCCTGGGGTTAGTGTGGTTAGAGTATTTGGCTTTAACATGTAACTTTTTATTTCTTCGAATGCATGTTATTGCAAAGGTCCCTATGCCAAGTCTCTTTTTTGTTCCCTTGAGTGCTTGAAATATCGGCAGACTTCGCTCTGCTAATTTTGAAATGAACTTGTTTAAGGCGGCAAGTCTTCCTGTCAATTTTTTGACGTCCTTTATATTTTTAGAAACTTTCATGTTTAAGATTGCCTGAACTTTGTCTGGGTTTGGATCGATTCCTTTTGCTGATACAATGCAGCCTAGAATTTTGCCCTTTTAGACTCCAAAGGTCCACTTTTTAGGATTTAACTTTAAATTTGCTTCCCTGAGATTTGTAAATGTTTCTTGGAGGTCTTCGATGTGATCTCCTCTTTTCTTGCTTTTGACTACTATGTCATCAATGTAGTTGAGTAGGTTTTTGACAATTTACTCATGAAGAACTGTTGAAGTCATTCTAATAAATGTTGTGCCAGCATTGCGAAGCCCCTCTGCCATTCTTACAAAACAGTAAGTCCCGAATGGGGTGATGAAACTTGTGAATTCTTCATCTTCTTTTCTCATCCAAATATGATGATAGCCAAAAAAACAATCCAAGAAACTTAGCATTTCACTTCCAGCTGCTTGATCAACTAATGTGTCAATTCTTGGCAATGGGAAATTGTCTTTTGGGCACGCTTTATTGAGGTCTGCGAAATCGATGTACATTCGTTATTTTCCATTCTTTTTCCTAACCATGACAATGTTTGCGAAAGTTGTGAATTGAACTTCTCTTATAACTTTTGCATCAAGCAATCTTTAAACTTCAGCTTTGGCAGCCTGAACTCTGTCTTCGACTAGTTTTCTCAAATTTTGTTTTTTTTGTCTCACTTTTCGATCGATGTCTAGTTTGTGTTCGATTATGTCTCTACTGACTCCTCCTAAGTCATTTGATGACCAAGTGAATATATCTTTGTTAATTCGAAGAAATTCCACAAGTTTATCCTCTTCTTCTTGAGAAAGTCTAGTACCAACGATGACTTGTTTGTCTGGGACTAATGGATCAAAAGGTACTCTTTTTGTTTCTTCACAAGATTCAGCTTTGAGTTGAGGCTTCGCATTTTTTGTTTCTTCTTTTTCTTTTTCAATGATTGCATGAACATTCTTTTGTCCTAGAGTATATTCTTTTTCAATGTTTCTTGCCTTAGTTTGGTCTTCATGTACTGTGATTACTGCATTTATTGCTGGCATTTTCATGCATAAGTATAAGTAGCTTATGACTGCTTCGAATGCATTTAAAGTTCCTCTTCTGAAGAGTGCATTATATGGATAGTACATGTCAACCACATCAAATGCTATTTTCTCTGTTCTTGCATTGCTTACTGTTCCAAAAGAGACTGGCAAAATTATTCTTCCAATTGAGTGATTGTTTTTGCCGTCGAAGCCATAGAGTGGATGCTCATCTCTTCCTAACATTTTGCGATCAATTTTCATGGCATCAGTTGTTGATGTGAATATAATGTCAGCGGAGCTACCTCCATCAACCAATATTTTTTAGACTGCCCAACCATCAGTGTTTGCTTCGATTACCATAGCATCCATATGTGGGTAATCTTTCAGCTAAAGGTCTTCTTGTGAAAATATGATTGGTAGATTAGACCTTCTTGATTTTTTATATGGACCTTCCATTAAAATTGAATTTACTCTTCGGAAGTAGTTTCTTCTTTGACTGTTATTTTCATGATCCATGCTATTTTCTCTCGTGATTGTTAATATTCTTCCTCTACTTAGGATGATTGCATTATTGTTCACCGTTGAAACTGATGGGGAGTTATTCTCTTGCTTGGCTTGATTGTTTTGTGGGTTGTTGTTTGCAACTGAAGCTTTAGGTTGTGTTGATTGAATATTTGATTGCTAAGATTGATTTTGCCTCCATTGATTTTGCATGGGATGATACATTGCTAGGGGTTCATAGCTGTATGTGGGAGGTGGCCCTAGAAGTAGTGCTTGGGGATGTCCATAGTGAATTGGGTAATAAATTTGATAAGAACTTTGATGTTCTTTCCTCACATGATTGACAACTTTTTGGTGGCTTGGTGCCCCTGTTTTCTTCTTGGGCTTCTTGATGCTTTTCTTTACTTTAGGACATATTTTAGATGTATGTCCAGCCCCTTTGCCATGAATAATGCAGTACATATCTTTAGGTTTTAAAGGTGCTCTTCCTCTTCCTCCTCTTCCTCTTGTGCCAAAGCCTCCTCTTTCAAATGTTCTTTCATTGAATTGACTTTGCTGGTTATATTGATTTTGGTGAGCATAATCACTTTCGGTTGTTGAATTGTTGTCAATCTCGATTTGATTGACTTGATTGTGTGGTGTAAATGGTCTTCGCTCATAGTTGTTTGGTCTTTGAGGATGGAAGTTGTTGTTGCTTTGCTTGATTTGAGCCATGAAGTTGTTTTCTTCTTCAATTCTTTTTCTATAATCATCATCTGATTTATAATATTTTTGGATGACTTCGTAAAGCTCTGCAACTGTACTTGGTTTTTTTCGGGCAAGATGAGAAGCACATTGCCCTACTCGAAGTCCTTTGATTGCGGCTATTATCACCATTTCATCTAGGATATTTAGAATTTATGCCTTGATTTGGCTAAATCTTTTGAAGTACTGGCTCAGGGGCTCTTTGATTTGTTGCTTGCAATTGAACAGATCTATATCTGTGAGGCCAGCTGGTTGGAATCCTTGGAAGTTGTTTAAACCAAAATTTGGGAAGAAGAACACGGGAACTCGAAACTTCCAAGATTGCGTCAATCAAGGAATCGATTGCGTGAGGTTTGATATCAGCTGATTCAGATGTGACATTAGAATCGGCTCTCTTCGAATGACGTCAGCAGATAACAACAATGAGCTACGGTTGATGTCAGGAAATACATATCAGACTCTACAAAAAGAGAAAGATTAGGGTCCAAGTTATCTTAAGTTAGAAATGTTTTCTTTTATACCAAAGATTATAATGGGTCATACTTGAGTAGAATTCATGTTTAGGCTCCAGGTATAAATATTGGACCCCGGCTATTGTAAAGGACATCCAATCAACCAATACAAGTTACTTTTCTTTTCGGCTCCGTGCCAACCCTTTGGAGTAGGAGTAGAGTAGATTCTGGTGAGTTCTTCAACAAGTAGGGCTACATCGGTCCGGCCGACATTTGGCTTGTCTGTAAAGTACCATCATGGCTTATACTTACTTTTGTACGGCAAGCATCGGTTAGGTT